AGTTTTCTCTTAATCTGTGACAAGATTGTCCAGCATTCACTGGCGAATAGGAGGACCGATATTAGCTAATAGTTCAGTGCATTTTCCTTTGTGTATGGTATTCTCAGCATCCTTCTGTAGAACCACATTTCTGTTGCTTCAAGTTTCCTCTTCATCTGTGATGAGATTGTCCAGCATTAACTGTCGTATAGGAGGATCGATATTACCGTATTCTTTTCTTTGTTTCTAAGAAAACAAAATTCCTGTTTCATAATACTTTATTCAACTTAAATAATTTATACGCCGACAAATACATATATTTTTCAATTACTGGAAAGGAGCGAGCAAATTTATACATTAATCCGTTCCATTTTATTGAGACTCAACATCGACATCATACATTTGAAACTTTGATTCACCCACATGCGCTCTACGCTTTTGCAAAATTTCCTGTCCATCTATCGATTACTACATATTTTCTTCATACGTAACTGATTTGGCGATGTGTCTCAACTTTATTTTTCTTTGTGTTACTGTTTAAAAATATCAATATCAAGTTCTCATTATGATATGCTATAACTAAACCCATATCAATCAGTCAGTTATGTGCCATGCGTGATACACGCTTAAGCGATCATGTATCTTTCGAAACATGACTGACGAGGCAGATTTTATTTTTCTCGCTGTAGATTGCCATTTCTTTTTGAGGTAGAACAGTTGCTATCCAAGGCTATAGAACCCGGTCTGTCCTGCTATTTACACATATGAGACAGATTTTTCCCGCAGTAGGTTGCCATTTCTTTGCGGTAGACCAGTTGCCATCGAAGGCTACAGAACCCGGTCTGTCCTGTTATTTACCCATAGCTTGGTGGGGGGCGGAGAAGAAGAAGATTTATACCTTTCCCAAGGGTATTAGCACGTAAGTGAATGTAATGGATTCTACTGGAATTCGAACTCGGCTCTCGGATTCCTCAATCCGAGCCGCTATCCCTTATTCCACCGTGCCTCAAGGTATATGCTAATACTGTTGAATGTATGCAGTCTCAAGTTCATAATGTAAGTTAACTTAGTGATCTTTTAAATAGTTTTTTAATATTTCATAATATATATATATATATATATATATATATATCAGTCGGTTATCTGCCATGCTTGATACACGCTTAAGCGATCATGTATTTTTCGATACATGACTGACGAGGCAGATTTTTTCCTGCAGTAGGTTGACATTTTTTCTGCAGTAGACCAGTTGTCATCCAAGACCCAGTCTGTCCTGCTATTTAGCCATAGCTGGAGGGGGAGAAGACGAGGATTCATACATTTCCCAAAGGTATTATCACGTAAGTGAATGTAATGGATTCGACTGAAATTCGAACTTGGCTCTCCGATTCCTCAATCCGAGCCTCTATCCATTGAATCCTTATATATATAAACCTATATAGTGTTTTTAATTTTTTATGTGTTGTGGCCCTTCGGAACATACGTGATCATGTCTATCCACAACTTTCTGCTCTTTATATCTCTCAGCAATGTTTGTATACCTCCCAGCCCCTGCTTAGCCATTTATTAAAAATTCGTTTGGTAGGTTATTTGCTGTTTCTCTCTATCCCTGTTGCCATTATTATGTCCTGTCAGTGTTAAATTTTCCAAGTCTACTTTCCTCATTATTCGTGCCAGACATTACATCTGTCTCTTGCTGATTCTAAGTATAAATAACATTTTTGTTCCCGTTTTCTTTAAAACTTCCTAGGGGCTCATATGTTCCGTCTTTGTTATTCTCATCATCCTTCTGTAGAACCACATATCTATTGTCTTAAGTTTTTTTATTTATCCGCGGGGAAATGGTCCGGCATTCACCGTTATATAGGAGGATTGATATTATATAGCAGTTCACCACTCTCGTCTTTGTTTTTAATTGAATTTTCTTGTCTCATGATAAATCGATTAGTTTCTAGATGGCATCTTTCGCTATTCAAATGTCTCTTCGCTTTTACAAGATCATTGGGTAAAGATGACTTCGAGCGAATGAGGCTTAGAGATCTGAACGAAGATTATCCTTCTTTGAACATCATTGACTGGCGCTACGGAATCACAAACAAAGAACTGTGCCAAGTAACAGAAACAACATCATTTGAAGTATTTCAAGAGCGGCAACAACTAAAATGTATAGCATATGTAACTCGAAGAGAAAATAATGAAGTGACCATATCTGGCGGCAATATTCAAAACATGGACGAATGGTAGGCATAAATATGTAAGATAAATTCTGGGATGAAAAATTGTCTAGCGTGATTCAGTGAACCAACTTTCCTATTAGTAGACATAGCAGTTGTGTCAATATAATCTTTCCATATCATATCAGCGGAACACGTTAGCCCGGGAAGGCGCAATGAGTCACTTTTCTGGAGGTTATCATCAGCCATGCTGATGGCAGGTAGAAACGATCTCTCATTGAGAGCAGTTTGGTTTTCGAGGCGTTAAAACTGACAAGCCATTCTTTGTCCCAGTTAACAGCAGATTTTAGGTCATATTTGAGATTAGCTGTCAGTTTGACATTTTCGAACAAACGGCGTTTATTTATCTAACCTGTTAGATCGCGTTAATCCCTTCGTCAGAAAAAAAATCCTAGAAAATCAGCACAGGTTCACTGTTTCAAGAAACGTATTTTACCGTCTCGTTTCCCTAATAATTCTGATGCCATCGCTTCTTTAATTGAGCCGTTCTTTACGTCATCTCCGGACGCTTGTCGCGTTTTGCAACTCTGTCCGCTTGGCAACTCCGATCATAGTAGTGTCTATAGATATTTCTTTCTGCTTGTATCTCTAAGCAATGTTTGTATACTTCCCAGCCCCTGCTTAGCCGTCTATTATAAATTCGTTATGGAGATCTCTAAGCCTCATTCACTCGAAGTCATCTTTACCCAATGATCTTGTAAAAGCGAAGATTTAAAAAAGCAAATGGCAAATATTCAAATGTCTCCTTTGTTTAAAACGAGGTGGGATTTCGTCAATGCATCTGGTAGGAAATCAGATGAAAAATTATGCAAGAACGAGCCCCCCCCCACCTTTAGCAGGACATCTTTTTGTTACCAACGTACTGTTTGGGGTTCATTTCGTAATTTTGTTCGCGACGCTGCCTGGAATAAAATGTTTAATATTCCCGTTGTAAATTGTGACCACTATGGTTTCTTCCTAGCTGAAAGATGGCATCGAAGCTTTCATGCCTGCACGGAAATAAAAAATGATTTTTCTCCAAAGGGAATTTGACGAAGTTAACTACTGACATCTGAAGATTAAAAAAAGCAAATGGCAAACATTCAAATGTCTCCTTTGTTTAAAACGAGGTTGGGTTTCGTGAATGCTTCTGGTATGAAATCAGATGAAAAATTGACTTGCCGAGAAAAAAAAAAGAAATGTCGGTTTTATTAAATTTAAATTTTCCCTAAATGCGTCATGGCTCCCACGTTGATTGAACCAAGAATTCTCCCACGTCTCATACATTCAGGAAAGAAAATGAAACTTTAATATATTCTGTTGGACTTTTTTTTACAGCCACTGCATTTCGGAATGTGTTATCACGCATAAAAAGGTTCCGGGCGAATCATTATAAGAAGAGCAGTTTGGAGTTTAATACCTGAGGCAGAACAGATGTCATTTTGATAGGAAATGTTTGCTTATCGGGTATTTTATTAGAAAAAAAAAACAAACTTCAAATAAATTGGAAACAACAACAACAATAAAAACAAATAAGCAAACAAACAAACAGGAATATCAAATTATCTATGTTAGGAGTATAGTTATTGCTCGGAGATAAATTGATAAAATAGTGTTTCGCTAATAAAACACTAGCTCATTTTACAGTGACAAGCCCAACTAACAAATACCAAGTCTAAATGAACAGAAAAGTAAAGGAAAAAAAAAAGAAGGAAAAATTACAAACAAAATAAAAAAATGAAGAAATACAGGTTGCGATGGGTAAATTGTCGCAATTTTATATTTTTAATTTCGCGCATGCGTGTTGTTTGTTTTTGATTTTGTCGATTGCACAGTAGTGATTTTCCAAGCGTAGCTTAGATGTGGCACAAGGCCGAAAGTATGGGGCACCCAGTGAGGATCGAACCCACTATTCAGTTTTAACTGTTTTAGCGAAACAAGCTTGCTAACCATTAAACCACGCCGAGGTGCCCAATTGTACAGTATAGTAGGGTCAATTAGGCACCTTCTGTGAGAAAGATAGTGACATGACGCAATTCACTCCGCTAGAAATTTGGAAACAGCATGCTGTAATGCTTTGCATTCGCCCCGGAAGCTCCAATACGAACATTTCACTGTGTTTGGGTGTCAATCTGAGTGCAGAGGATTCGGAAAGAGTTGGATGAGTCTAATGGTGATTACGAAGGTACGACATTCTGATGGTTTTGATAAGCCCAAATTTGTTGATGAAGGCTCAGACTCAACAAAGAGGCCTACAACAACTTGAGGAGGTAGGTCTGTCCTGGGTGAAGAGGCTGGATGCTGAAAGAACCGATGTAAGGTAACAGGACTCTGCACCATGTCACACAAGGAGGAGAACCCAGTCACGGCTGTCAGACATTTTCTGCGACTACATCACCCCTTACATCTGGCCACTTAATTCCCCAGACTCTAGCCCTCCTTTGATTATTGTGTGTGGGGGACACTTGAGCTAGAGACCAACAAAACTCCTTTTAAAACCAAAAATGGACTGAAGGCAAAGATGATGGCAGCATTCACTAACTTAAACAAGGAAAATGTCCAGAAGAGATTCAAGAGATTCCGAAGTCGTCTGGAGGTCGTGGTTGAAGCCAATGAGGATTTTATTGAATAAATTTACTCTTTCGTATTTCAAAATATTTTTGTGCAATTTTGGTAAATATCTCTGTTAAAATGAGTTGTCACTGTTATTTTCATTTTTGCGTAATTTAGAGGGCAATTTATCCATCGCACCCTGTACATCAAGAAGAACAAAACTGAAGAGAAAAGAGGAGGGTGAAAAGATGAAGATCAGAAAACGGGAGAGACGGGAAGAAGAGAAGGGATAAAAATAAAGAGGAAAAAGGACGAGGGAGAAACAGAGAAATAGAGAAATAGAGAGAAAGCGAGAGAAGAAGAATATACAGAGAGAGAAGGGAGGAAATGAGAAGAGAAGAGAGAAATGATAGAAAGAGACGTAGAACTGAAGAGAAAAAGAAAGAGTAAGAAAAAGGAGAAAGACAAAAAAAATGACAAAAAAGTAAAACAGAGAAGATGAAGAACGATGAAGAAAATTGGCGAAAAGCGAAGAAAGGTCTTTAAAAAACCAGAAAGAATACGAGAAATGTAAAAAGAGAATCTTACTTATTATAAAACGCAGATTGTGTGTGTGTGTGTGTGTCTGTACGTTTATATATTGGATCGGATTTCCTACATTTTTCAACCGATTTCAACAAAACTTCACAGGACTGCGTAAAATTACCTTCCGGTGGTTCTGACAGCGCCAAAAATTGGAAAAACACAATTGTTTTTGCACGAAATCAATTTGAAAACACGATTCCGTCGCCAGCATGAAAGGGGGACAACTCATATCGAGTTATACTTATTATAAAACCCAGGTGTTTGTGTGTGTGTGTGTGTGTGTGTGTGTTCGTTTATATATTGGATTGGATTTCCTACATTTTTTAACCGATTTCAACAAAACTTCACTTTTTTTGGCAGGTAGTGTTTGTTATTGTCTTGCACACTTTTTTCTTTGTTTACATTCAGAATGCTTTAAAAATTCCATTTACAAGACAATTGTTTATAATAAAATTCTATTCAATCGGTCGACACATAACGATTGAAAACAATGTTTTTGTTTGAGATTCGGTTTGACCAATTCGTAAAAAAAAAAAAACAAAAAAAAAAAAACTAATTGTCTTGCCTTTCTTCTGAGTGTCAAATTCTCCGAGCACTTTTTCTTCATTGTGTACCGGAAATTTCAACTGTTTTTATTTTTTTTTATTTTTTTAATTCTATGTGCATCGCTTTTATTTCCATTTTCCTAAAGACTAGCACATTGTTCACCTATTCTGTCTATTGTAGTCTCAACAGCCTCCTGTAAAAACAATATCTTTTACATTAAATCATATATTTATGTCACGAAATTGTAACTATTATATACGTGCGATATTATATAGATTTTTCAGCACACTTTTCTTTTCTTCTAACGAAGACTTTCCGGTTCTTAATGATTTTGTTTAGTTTCTGGAAACCATCTTTCACCATTCCAATGCAACAGCGGATGTCTGTGTCAGATTTTCCGTTTTCTGTTAAAACACTTCTCGGATAGTTAAACTCCCGTACTTGTTTCATTCTCAGTCGTCTCAGATTCGTGTCTCGCATTTTGGATTGTTTTTCTCGCATACAGCCATGCATCCTCTCTTCTTACAAATGATACACTTTTCTTCTCGCTTTCTTTACCATCTTTTCTAAGAGTCCCTGTAGTTATCTTTCCATGATTTGTCATCCTGTACACTGAAATACAAATGGCAAATCAACAATCAACTAAAAAACCGTAAAACAGATTCAGGCACTATTTTCATCTTACCCTGTACAATGGACGCCTGCAAGTCGAGTAACGTTTAGAGACTTTGATTGTTAATCAAAAGTAATGAGATCGATCCTCACTGGATGCCAGTATTGTGCCTAACGTTGATTAGATCATAACGCTCTAGATTTGGTTTGTTTGTTTAACGGTATATCAACTCCTTATGGGTCATTTAACGACAGAATTTAATTTTCTTAGAAGTTTTGTCATTTTTCTTTGCTATTACTGTAATTTTTTTTGGTGATACTGGATTTTTTTTTACTATTAAAATTTATTGCTATTATTATTATTGCTATTTTTTACTATTAAAATCTATTACTGGTTTTATTTTTACTATTAAAATTTACTGATGGAAGTTTTTACTATTAAAATCTATTACTGGAATTTTTATTATTAAAATATATTGTTAGATTTTTTACTATTAAAAACTATTACTGGAATTTTTTGTTTTATTATTAAAATCTATTACTAGATGCCTTTTACTGTTAAAATCTAACACTTAAATTTTTTACTATTAAGATCTATTGCTTGAATATTTTTTTTACTATTAAAGTCTATTGCTAGAATTTTTTACTATCAAAATTTATTTCTAGAAATTTTTACGATTAAAATCGTCGATTTCTGGATTTTTTTACTATCAAAATCTATTGCTAGAATATTTTTGCTATCAAAGTCTATTGCTAGAATATTTTTGCTATCAAAATCTATTGCTAGATTTTTTTTACTAATAAAATCGTCATTGCTGTATTTTTTTAGTATTAAAATCTATTACTGGAAGTTTTTACCATTAAAATATGTTGCTAGTATTTTTAATATAAAATGTATTTTTATACTTTCATCTTGTTTTTTTTCTTTTTATGGGTTCATTATTTGTCCATAGCTGGGGCCCTAACAGGTTCTACCATCACGGTTCACAGTGAACCCAGCAATTAAGAGGTGGTTCCACACCCCTGAAAACCTCCAAATCTGCTGCCGTTCATCGTAATACCCAGGACGACACAGAAAAGTGTAACAGCAGTATGAAATAAGAAGTTATAAGAAAACAAATTTGAAATTTATCCCAATTCTTTAACGATGAATATTAAAATGTTCAAGCCTAGCTTTTCATAGTAACCAGGACTTATTTTCTTAAGTAAATTTCAGTCTGTCATCTGCACAGACGAACTCAATCAATAGTTCACTCGCAGTTTTCCTTTTGCCCGTCTTGACTTCAATATAATTTGTGAGTGTTTAAAAGACTGCTTTCCTCATTATCTTTCTTGCTGCCGGGTGTAGTTTATCGTCATATCCAGGACGGTAATGCTCTAGATTGATACAATATCCCATCATCAATATAAAAAGCGGGAATCGTACTTTATGGCCGAAATGTTTGAAATGCTGTTGGGATATCAGGAAGCGGGCGTTCAAGGTGATCGTTTTTCTGCGCTGACAAATCTACCCACTTTGCCGAGCAATGAAGCGTTTTATAAAAGATGGAAAAGTGGATGTACACGTTACGCATGACAAGGCGAACACCTTTTCACGGACAGAATAAGCTGATTATTCCCAGGCACGTCTACGTGCTAAAACTCGACAGTTCGCTCAATAAAAGCTTTCATAAAACAGGTATTTCATTATGTTAAGCTATTTCTCGAATCTTGTATCCTAGTTTGTTTTATTAGAATATATTCACCAAAAGTAATATACTGTATTCAAGCGTCATTGAAGTTGGAGAATTTTCTTAAGTTTTCTTGAATAGACTTACTAATAGTATGATATTTTTTTTTATCGGATCCAGAAGCCGTGGAAAAACAGAGGAAGAAGTTAATAAGAAATATTTACTTCGATTGAATAGACATACTATTTCATAGTTTTTCGTGTGTACTTCCTGCTCAAAAACTTTTGGCATCACTCGCTGTGGTGGTGGTGGGGGGGAATGTATGCGAGAATAGTAAAATATGAAACAAGAGGAAAAAGAGAGAAACAAAGAGAAAACGAGAGAGAGAAAGAGAGAGCAGAGAGCAGAGAGCAGAGAGTGAGAGTGAGAGAGAAGACGAGAGAGAAAGACAGAGAGAGAGGAGCAAAAGAATGTATGTAAGGTACAAGGTAAAGAGAAAGAGGGAAATAAAGGAAACGTTGAGTAAAATAGAAACGATTCAAAACACATCAGAAACTGAGAGATATTGATTGCTTGATTCATTCGTTTTTTACGGTTTATCTCCCCTTTCCAAGTTATTAAAAGCCAGAAAATATTTTTAGACTGTAGGAATTTTTTTTTTTTGAGATAATGATAATTTAGTGATACAAGTCTTACTATTTAATTCATAGCCGAGGCGAAAAGTGGATTCATACCATATCAAAATTTGATAAAGAAGCAAAAATTTATAATGTGAATATAAAGTGAGGGATCGATTTTATATTACAATCAATATATAAAATTGTCCTTCAATTTGTGGCCACGGTAGGTTCTATGCATTTCTGTTCTACACAATGCAAATAAATCTAAGTCATGCCTGTTAAGTTAATCAGTATTTGACTGTTTCGTTTTTTACGGTTTTTCACACCTTTGCAGGTTACTTAAAACGAGAAATTATTTTTTTTCAGTTGTAACAATTTTTAAAAGATAATAGTGGTTTAGTGATACAAGTCTTACTAATTAAAATATAGCTGTGGAGAAAAGAGGTGCATTATTATATTCACTTACATGGATTCATACCTCCCACCCCCAAGTGGTATGAATTCACGTATGTGAATATAACGTATATATATATATATATATATATATATATATATATATCATGCGCGTAAGTGAATATAATGAACCCAAAGGGAATTGGAACTCCGCCCTCCGATTAAAAGTTCTTAGCCATTATCCATTATACCACCCGCACATCCAAGCTTACGGCACCTGATATTCCTAAGCGGTCACCCATCTAGGTAATGACCAGGCTCGACGTTGCTTAACTTCGGTGATCATATAGAAACCAGTGTTTCAACCTGATGTGACTCTCGGCCACTGAGAGACAGAGACTGACAGAAAGGTCGAGGTTAATATAAATATCAAATAAAGTGTTAGCCAGAGAAGAACTTGAGATAGATAGATAGACAGACAGATAGACAGACAGATAAAGAAAAAAATTAAAAAATTATAAATGTACACACATATACAAATATTCCTTTATGTTCTGCTAATGATCTCGAAGAATATTCTTTTTCGGTATCTTTTTGATTTTTAGTAACTCTGGTTATCCTTCGAAACTGTTGTCTAACGTTATTGAAATTTTATTTCAGATTAGACACTTCTTTGAGATAGAATAGACAAGAATAAGCCAATTCGACATCTCTGACTTTAATCAAGATCACAAAACTGCCGAATCTGCTCGAAACATTCGTGTGGTGTACAAAGATGACTTCATTACAGGCAGAATGACGCAGAAATGGTTTTCCTGTTTCAAGGAGTAGAAGTTCAAACTCACAGTCTCGCCTCGTTCTGGGTGAACTGTTACTGTTAATATTTCTTTCATTGGTTAAGTTTCAGAAGGTCTGTGTATGTGTCCCATATGCATTGATTGAAAGAAACAAACTACAACGCTTCTCCGTAGCCGCCAGTCTCTTGGCTCGACCCCAGACTACTCTGCTCGACACTATACGTGGATAGAAAAAAAAAGAGTTAAGTTCTGCAACGCCCTTGTATTCTCCTGGTTTAGCCACTTCCAACTACCATCTTTTACAGTCGCTTTCTTACAATGTCAAAGGTGTTTCGATTAGCAATAATGCGGAGCTTAAAACGTATCTTGATGGATTTTTCGAGGCAAAACCTAGTGACTTCTAGCGTCAAGACATTGAACAGTTAGTGGATCGTTGGCAGGAGGTCGTAAACAACATTAAAATAAAGAAAATGCTTTTGAGATATCGGGACACTTTAAAGGTCGGTTTTAATGTAAGCTGCCACAGCTTGGACATTAACTAAAATCCTGGAGTGTAAACATGATGGAACCTACACTCGGATGTTGAGAGCTATACGTAATATCTCTTGGAGACAAGGTCCAACTAAATCTACTCTTCATGATATTTCTACATTCTTATGTGAACATAGAATGCGTTTTGTAGGACAGTGCAGGTAAAAGAACACGCTTTTAATGTACTACTTTGGAAATCTCGTCATGGCGCAAGAGGGCTTGGTCATCCAGCATCCACCTACATTGACCAGCTATACTATCACACAGAAAGTCATCCTAATGACCTTTCGACATTGATGCAGGACCATGATGGTTGGCGTGATAGACTTATGAATGTCCGTTCTAGGTCGACCGAATAGTAATAATGATATTAAAATAAAAAAGAAACAAATTTATGCAACAACCTAATAACTACCCCCCCACATATCTATATATATAGATATGTGTGTGTGTGTATGTGTATGCATGTGTGTATGTATTTAAGCAGCAATCCTTCCTTCATGCTCATTTCACTGAATACGACAGACAACGTGCTTTGAAATATTTTTTTATACAACTTCTCATGTGATTCGGCTATACATTTAGTCATTTTCAAGAAATATATTAACTGTTAGCAAGAAATAGTTTCTTTCGTGCATCTATTTATATAATGTTTTTATTTTCAAAACAGTCAAGATATTGCGATACTGAAAATGGCTAAATGTATAGCCGAAAGCGCTCGGATAAAATGAACATTTTGACAGTTTTTATATGATTTATCATCTGAATAGAAGAAAAAAATATTAGATCACATGAGAAATTGTATAAAAAACTAAATCAAAGCACCTTTGTATGTAGTATTCGATGAAATGTGCATATATATATATATATATATATATATATATATATATATATATATATATATATATATATATAATTATGATATATTGCATATATAGTGGTAGTGTTTATAAAACATTGTTCGATGTAAAACAACAGAGATATTAAATATATATTAATAAATATACATATTATCCTTCACTGATAACACGACTCGTACTTTCAGTTATATATATATATATATATATATATATATATATATATATATATATATATATATATATATATATAAATAAGACAAAAAATTAGGAGGAAAAGAGACAGAGAGACTATAAGGCAAACAAAATAATATATATATATATATATATATATATATATATATATATATATATATATATATATATATATATATATCGAAAGAAAAGAAAGAGAGTGGGTGGGAGTTGAAGAGAGTAAATAAGAAAATAAATGATTGGATATGAATATACATTGTTGCAAATTTGGTAGATTTAGTGGGGAAGACGGATCAATGTTGGGTATGTAGCGGTTTATAGTTATAGATAGCATGGACATCAGGATCAACGCTGCATGGTGACCGTCAGTGTTACGCAACAGTGCTAGCTTCCGACCAAGAAATTAAGACTGAAGCGTGAAACTGAGAGTCACTATGCAGTGTTGATATCAATGTATACACACACACACACGCGCGCACGCACACTCTCTCTCTGAATAGATATTTATCTGAGTGATATATATATATATATATATATATATATATATATATATATATATATATGAATTTTTATCTCTCTTTCTCTCTCTCACTATATATACATATGTGTGTATATATATATATATATCTATATATCTATCTATCCATCTATATATATATATATATATATATATATACCGGGGTGTAACGGCAAAATTGACGAAATCGTGTAACAGCATGTCCATCCCACAAAATGTTTAATATCTAAAATAAACTAATCTAATGGCGTTTCTTTTTTGTCGTTTTTTAGTTTAGCCATCTTGATAATGTTTGTAGTAAGAATCACTAAAAACCCTTTGAGTTATTAAGCTTGAAAGAGAAAAAGTTAAAATTCTTTTGTGTCAGTATCCCTATATCTTTCAAACTGACTAATGATGATAGGAAAAAATCATTCAGGTCTTCAGTAATGGTAGCATCATTCATTCTCTGGTTCCCATCTTTAAAGTCCATTCAAGAACCATCAAGAGTGAATAAGTTGTAAGAAGAGGGAACAGTTGAGAGGGAAACCTGATCAAGAGATCACAACAGCAAGAGAGATCATCATTTCAACTTAGAGCTAAATGCCTTCTTATTGTTCAATGTACAATAGAGTTATAAAAACCGCAGAGAATTCAGAGTATTGAACTTGACAACATTTAATTGGAGGTGTCTTAGTAATGGCAAATGGCTGATACTAACATGGCTGCCCATTGCTTCCTTTTAAGCCTTACAATTTTTTCTTCCGTTCAGAGGAAGTTTACTCCCGAGCAACGCCGGGATATACTGCTAGTATACACACACACACACACACACACACACACACACACACACATATATATATATATATATTATTTATTTAAAAATATGATTCCAACTCGCGTCATAAGAGGTCTCATGTTTCAAAATAAGAGCCGAAAACTTCAATATAATTATTTGAATTAAACTGAATTAAAGTAAGCTCTGTTCCATCTTCAAGCGAAATTTTTTTTTGGAATAACTTATTTCTGAAATTTACGTGTTTTAATAATATATTCATAATTGAAATCAAAATTTCCATGGTAACAGCCAGGGCGGATTGTTTAAAATACGTAGGGGGCGTGTTGGGTGTTAATAATACGTATCAGTATAAAGTTACTTTCATAGATGTCAAGTCAGGGTAAGGTGGGGGTGTCTAAATTTGAAACGGAAGGTGTTTTCGCCTAGTCTGGTTTACGTGTCTATGGAGATTTATTTATTTTTTTTACTTTATTTCTTTATGAAAGGGATTTGGTGCATATAAAAACTGCCGTAACATTTGTTTTTAGACGACTTCATAAATGGTTATCTTTTTTGTAGGGTATTTAAACTATATATTTGGGCTATGGATTATAAAAGTTATTATATTGAATGCTTGTTTTTAGCTAATTATTCAGTGCATAAATTTGATGATGTCGGCAAAAAACCGTTAACTCATGTCTATTGTTTAATAGATTTTTATTATTTAGAAACTTAATAATGTGCAGTTTCTCATGGAGGCATAAAGGGTATGAGTCATCCCAAGCTTTACAAGTTCTAGTCCTATTTATAATTTTCCATTTTACTTTAGGTGTCCTATTTATTTCCTTCAGATGCCAAAAATATTTTGATATCAATTGGTTTAACTATATTGATGATAAACCTAATTGCACCCCAATACAGTTCGATATCGTGGATTACTACCTATCAATTTCGAAGGATCTATTTATTTTCAAGTTTCTAGGAAGAAAGATAAAGAAAGAAAGACCATGTTTAGCCATGAATTTTCATGTTGATTGGAAGAAAGAAAGAAAGACTGTGTTTGGCGATAAATTTTCATGTTTATATGATGAAAGAAAGAAAGAAAGAAAGTCTGTGTTTAGCGATGAATTTTTAAGTTTCTAGGAAGAAAGATAAAGAAAGAAAGGCCATGTTTAGCTATGAATTTTCATGTTGATGGGAAGAAAGAAAGAAAGAAAGAAAGAAAGAAAGAAAGAAAGAAAGAAAGGCTGTGTTTAGCGATGAATTTTTAAGTTTCTAGGAAGAAAGATAAAGAAAGAAAGGCCATGTTTAGCTATGAATTTTCATGTTGATGGGAAGAAAGAAAGAAAGAAAGAAAGAAAGAAAGAAAAGAAAGGCTGTGTTTAGCGATGAATTTTAAGTTTCTAGGAAGAAAGATAAAAAAGAAAGGCCATGTTTAGCTATGAATTTTCATGTTGATGGGAAGAAAAAAAAGAAAGAAAGAAAAAAAGAAAGAAAAAAAAAAAGAAAGAAAAGAAAGAAAAAATGTTTAGCGATGAATTTTAAGTTTCTAGGAAGAAAGATAAAGAAAGAAAGGCCATGTTTAGCTATGAATTTTCATGTTGATGGAAAGAAAGAAAGAAAGAAAGGCTGTGTTTGGCGATAAATTTTCATGTTTATATGATGAAAGAAAGAAAGAAAGAAAGAAAGTCTGTGTTTAGCGATGAATTTTTAAGTTTCTA